TTTATGTCCAGCAAGCAGGAGTTTCATCCGATAAATCATTGATCAGCTTGCACTCACTGAATACATAACAACCGATGCAGTCATCAGAGCATGAAGTTTGTGATTTATCAGCACAAATACAGTGTCTGTCGCACTCTGCCCTACTTGCCTCTTTCTGTCATTCCCCTTTTGATACGGCTGTGTGCCTTTTAATTGTAACTGCATTCATTTAAAGCTTTTCTCTTGAAAGTGGCTGTTTGAGATGTTGACTAAATTGAATCCTTGACTTAGTGCCTCAGCCAGAGCAGCATTCTGAAAACAATTTGACGCTGCCCTTTTCTGCAACTTTTTGTTTAGAAGTATTAAAAGAATTTAGTTTTCGGCATAAAGTGAGTTCACACCCTAGAAATTCTCACGACATACTTTACTTCAGACAGTGCCCCTTTTTAATGTGCAGGTCTTTGGGGGCAACAGATTCATTTCTCCACAGAAAAAATACATTTCACAAACTTCTGAACAACTTTTTAATTTTGCTGTAACTGCTTGCCTTTTTCCTTGGTGTAGTATTTTTTGTAATTGTGAAGTTGACCAGCTGAGCTACCATCTGCAGGTCTGCCACATGCTAGCTCTTATTATTAATGTAAATAAAAAAGAAGAAATTAGGAACAGAGTATCACAAAATTTACAGATCTAAGAACAAGCACATTTCACTCCCTGATTTGTGCCTCCGTATGGAGGTGTACGTTGGAGTGGAGATGCTGGCAGTTTTCTCTGGTCAGTGGGTGGGGGTAGAGCTCAGTCCTGAATAGAGCCCCTGATTGGATTGATCTTGTTTACAAGCGACCTCTTCACAATCGGCACAGTTTAATAGCATGCTGTCCCAGAAGGGTTGTTGCATCCGTGTCTGTTTTGTTCCTCAGGGCAGGGAAAACAAAAGTGCCGGAAAAGGAGAAGGGGAAAGCAACCTCAGGGGAGCTGTGAAACAGCACTGGAGCCGTCCACCTCCGGGCTTCCTGCCAAGATAACGTTTCACCTTACCCACTGATACTTCTTTTATAGGAAACCACAACACAGCCTTAATGGGTCAAAAGCTACTTCTCATTCACCCAGTCAACATGAGAGTCAGTGACTTTTTGGATGGCAGAAGCATTTGAGGACAGGAATCGCAAATTAACCTAACTTCACACCCCCTCCATCGGTGAGCCTGGTCTAATTCTAATTTTAGGGCCTCCTAAAGTAAAGCTGGTTTCGGCTGAAGAGAGCTGTGCCACTGTCTTCATCACACACTCCTACAATAGGATGCAGCTCACACTGGTCCCTCAATAAATCCCAGGCTGACACAAAAGCTGTCAGTGGACTGCTGCTGAATAGATTAATAAGATTTCCATAATTAGACAGGCCCCTGACAATAGGATCCTTCAGGCTTTGTCTCAGAGCCAACTGGATTGTCCGAGCTGTGCACGTCTGCTGGACGGGCGTCCGCCACAATGGCCGCACAGACAGTAAGGCGGTCAGCAGAAGAACATCTGTCTCTCTTGGGGCCGAGAACACACACACACAGTGGGAAGTGTCATGTGCATATACACACAAGGTTCAACCTCCTCGCAGTAGAAAAGCAATCTGGTCACATCATATTTATGTGTACTTAACTTGGTCATCACATCTGATTTCTGTTCACCATAAAGTCAGCAGTGCAACTGATTAATGATAAAATATCTAAAATACTTAATAATAATAATAATCTTTATTTGTAGAGCACTTTTCCTACCCACTTGAAAGGATTGCAGAGGAGCTTTACTTATTTATTGACAACTGCAACAAAAACTTCCCATTAAATGAGGACAGGATTCCCATTTTCAAACATGATGTCCATTTTTAATACGTGTGTTTATTCATAATCCTCCGCTAATGTGAGTAAGATGAGTTGACGGGAGGCTGTGGCAGGAAAGGGAAATGCAACAACATTAGAGCTGAAAATGTATCCTGATTTAAGTAAAGGATGTAGCATGGCTACTTTTATTATAAGATAGGATTATGAAATTCACACATATTAGCAATGTCCTATTTTTTTTCTGTTGTGTAGAGTCATTTACAATCCAGCATCGAACTGAAACATATATTGAAGTTAATTTAATGATTTCACTGCTTCCCACAGTGTGTCCACATTGTCCTGATTTCCTCCTTCTAATCTTAGCTTTCTTTGTGCCCCTCCAGTGAATTAATCTACTCTGATTTCAGCAGAAGTGTAGATTAGAGCTTGCTTAGTTTATTTTGCATAGCTACTGCTCTAAAGACCACAGTCCAGCAGAAGGCAAGATCTAATTACATAGAAACAGCTAAACTGCATGTTTTCTCTCATCTGACCCACTGTGTACAAACAGCATTATAGAGTATAATGGACTATTTTAAAATACTAGACTAAAAGATAGAAAGTAATTACTTTCAGATGTAACAGTGAATTGGTTCTCCAGGTATGAGCAGCTGGTCATTATGTTGGTCAAGGGAGCAGTGTGAGAGAAGTCCATTCTGTATTGGTGCTACTCTAATGATGGAGTGGACAGCAGTTAGACCGCCTCACTGAGTCCTCTAATGTCCGCTCCAGTCCGCTTAGAGAGGACGAAGCGCCTGCTGTCCACTCTTTTCCCTCCCTCCCTTGCTCCATCCCTCCCTCTTTCATCCCTCCCTCCCCGCTGCAGGTTTTATGAGCTCCCCTGGGCTCTCATCCATCTCTGTCACACACAGGCACCATTATTGGGGCTGCTCACAAACTGGTTGGGCTGCAGATGGGAAGGGCCTGCAGGACATATATGGTTTCTGCAGCCCATACAAAGGCCTGCGAGTCAAGACCACAAAAATATGTGGTCATCTGGGTGTGTACAAGACAATGTCTTCAAAATGTTTGGAAAAAATACAACTTAATAGTGTGTGAGAATTTTTCTTGTTGCTGTGGGTGTGTGGGTTGACTGAAGCTTAGGGAAGTACTTGAACTGGTTTTGGCCATTGGGAACTTAAGGCAATGGATTTGAATATGAAGGACATGATAATCCAACGGCCATCTGGTCTGCCGGTCTCATCTGACTGAATAAATAACGGGCGTAATCTGGAAACACACATGGGGAGGTTTGGAAAGCGGGTAAAGAAAGAGGCCAAAGTTTAGGAGTGAGCTGGAGAGCGGGAGCAGCACAATCGCAGATTGTGGATATTGCGATTTCGATTTAAATGGCAATAAGAAGCCTGGCTCCACATCCACAGACATCTATGAATAATGAATCATCAGGCGTCCACTGAAGGAAAAGCAGATAGACCAGTAATGACGGCTTCTGCCATATTCCTTTTTACCTCCCTGTTTCTGAGTAGTCCTCACCTCAGGGTAAATTGTGACAGTTCAATAATGCCTAGCTATGTGTGGAATGTCAAGCTAAAGCCTTGGCAAGAGGTAGTGCTAGTCTTCATGAAATAGACGATGTTATTACTATGATATTGGGATATATGTGGTAAATACACACGTAAACACATGCACAAAATGCACAGTTGAACAACATGGACACATTTAAAATGGGAGTGAGTGGGTAAACAGAATAGACTGCAAACACTGAAAATGAGCAGATGCTTTATATATATTTGGGAAGAAGAAGTTCCACACATTGCAGATGCAATGCCAGTGGAATATTTTACTGGAAAATAAGGCCTTTGCATGACATGACATGGTGGGGGGGACGCAATTCACGAAACAAAAGTTAGCTGTTAGCTCGGCAATGTGCAGCAGCCATGATCAATCAGACCTCAGCCGGTGCTGAAGTCAGCCAGAGGAACAGACATTCCACTTTCCCAATGTTCCATGGGAGACTGTGCTGATGAATAGCACACTATTCCAAACCCAACCCCCCTCTTTCTTTCTTTCTTTCTTTCTCACTCTCTCCTCACCACTGTCCACACACACACACACACTCACACACTCACTCACTCACTCACTCACTCACTCACTCACTCACTCAAACCCTCCTTCCCCTCTCCCTCCCTCTGTCCAGACGGCCACTGGGCCTTTGGAGCTCTGGTGTACTGTGGGTGGGTGGATTGGTGGGTGGTAGGCTGGGGGGGGGGTGCAGTGTGGAAAGAGCAGGCATTCAGAGCAACATGCACGGGGAGATAACAATAGCTCCTCTGGGAGACCTGCAGATGCAGCACAGGGAGTAGTAGTGGGATCTTATCGCTACTCCGACAGAAGCTGGAAAACTGCAAAACAACACATCCAGCCCACCAATCTGCTTTCTTTCTTTCTTTTTTTCTTTCATTCTTTCTCTCTATCCCTCCACCTCCTTTTGCCTTCCTCTTTGGGAAATCTGAGCTCCTTCTGCTTACATGCATGATGGTAACACTGAAAAAGATTCCTCTTCAAACAAAAAGGCCTTTTCTTGTCCTCGGACCATGTGTCACTGTGCACAGGATAGTGGGGAAAAACGGAGGAGTGTCTAAACTTTGTACTGTCTAGTTCACTAATATATATCAAATTGACTATTATTTCTGGTTGAAGTGAGTGATATATACAGTAGTCCAAACCGTTTTGTATCACTTAATTAATAAACAATATATAAAAAATGATTCCTGTTATAATTTAAATGTGAAGTTTTTTGTTCTTTTTAATAGATGAGTCTGCAGAGTCTCACCTCTCGCAGAGATTGTGTCAAATAAAAAATGTAAGGATTAAAATTGTAACACTGAAAGAGCCATTTCACATAAGTCACACGTAAGTTTTTTTATATATTGGCATACATATATACCTTGCAACCTTGGATGCAGTTTGCATATAAGTAAATGCTAGTTTGATTTTGAAAATTATTATCTTAGCAAATGGAGTGAGAAACAAAATAATTCTCTATTTTTCAGTCATGGAATCATATGATAAAGATGCTATATGGACTTAAATGGAAGATAAAATCTCTCCTACGCCTCCAATATCTAATTAACTAATTGTAAATAGATGAAAATTATGACCTGGTTTCCCTGTGTGTTTCTTTTGTCAGGCTTGTTAAAGATGCACTGGAACCCAGAGCATGCCCAGGCTCTCAGCCAGTGGCCTGAGCAGCACCTGGACGTCTCCTCGACCACCTCCTCTCCGGCCCACAAGTCGGAATTGTACGCTGGCCGCGGCCGCAGCTCCTACAACTACGCCTGGGCCAACGACGACATCTCTGCTCTCACAGCCTCCAACCTGTTGAAGCGCTATGCTGATAAGTATGCTGGTGTGCTGGACCCGTATGACCGGCCACCTGCTGTGGGCACCTACCCAGAGCCAGGGGCCTTTGGGGGGCTCAACGCCCAGAAGACTGAGCTGGAGCCTTGGCCACTGACGCACAGTGCTGATGCCTCCTATACCCTGGGGCCCCCTGGAGGCCATGACAGCCTCTCAGGTTCCAAGGCTGTAGCCACATCTGTTGGCCCTCCGGGGGTTGGCAGCGTGTCGGTGGTGAACAGTAACCTCTCAGACTCTGGCTACAGTGGCAGCAGCTCCTGCAGTGGCTCCAGCGAGTACCCCTCTAGCTACAATGGCACCTATCTTTCCTCAGGGTACTGTCCCCAACCCAGTGCAGCACTTCCCCCTGCTTCCCTCCACACTCTCCAGTCCGCCCCCACTCTGGTGCCCAGCTATAGCCCTACCACACCTGTCTATAACTACCCCCCAAGCACATACCCACCCCAGACCAGCCTTGCCCCCAGCTACGGCCACCCCTCTGCAACTTACCTGCACTCAGGTCTACCAGCCCCTACTCCCGTTCCCTCAAGGCCCACCATTGTAGGAGGTAGCTACAGTTACCAGAGCGCCAACCTTGGGACATCTGAATCTGGAGGAACATTAAAAAGAAAAGCATTTGAGATGAGCGTAGAAGAGGATGAGAGTGGAGATGGATCTCGTTACAGGAAATATAGCTATGACCCCTTGAAGGCTGGGGGAAACTCACCCTACAGTGTGAATGACAAAACAGAGTGCCGGGGAAACGGCTTCAGCAGTTCAGGCAGCACAGACCCTCAAACCTTTAAGCCCAGTAAGCCCTCCTCCCAGCCCATGGTGTCTCCTCAGTATGGGGCAGCAGGGGGGGAGTACAGCCCTCCAGCAGGCATGACGGGAGAAAATGGCGTGGCGGAGCAAGGCTTCATCCAACAGCAGCACCACACCCAGGCCCACAAACGCTCTCCACTGTGTGCTCCGCCTGTTGAGACTATGAAGAGCCCAGATCCCCGGGTGTTGGACCTTGTCAATGGGGAGTTACTGGACTGCAGCCCGGCACTGGGCTGGGGCGAGCTGGCCGGTCTCACCCATGTGAAGGGTGCCCTGGAGGAGGACCTTTTGTGGCCCGTGTTGAGACCCAGTCCGTTGATGCGGCCACCAAGAACCGTCCTGCTGTTTGGCCCCCGGGGAGGGGGTAAGACCACGTTGACTCGTTCTTTGGCTTCACAGCTGGGGGCTTCCTTCTACCGCGTCAGTGGAGCCATGCTGGCCTCTAAAGGGAAGGCCGAGGCAGAGCACATTCTGGGGTCTCTTTTGCAGGTGGCAGGGGCACGGCAGCCCTCAGTGGTGCTGCTCAGCCAGGTGGAGGCCATGGAAGAGGAGGGGCTGAGGCAGACACTGCTGACCGCCCTGGAGAAAGCCCAGGTGGGGACCACAGGTCTGGTGATTCTTGTATGTGCCACTGGTAGGCCAGATCTGCTGCAGGATGCAGTTCATCGAAGCTTTGCCAAGCGGTACCACGTTGGCCTGCCAGATGTGGGTATGCGCAGGCAGGTGCTGCTGCAGGCGCTGACGCCCCACGGCTACAGCCTGAGCGAGAGGGAGCTGAGCATTGTGCTGCAGCGCACAGACGGCTTCTCAGTGTGGGAGCTGCTTCAGATCAGCCAGCAGGCACTCTCCTCAGCATCCTCCTCCACCGGGGCAATGCATGGCCTCCCCACGTCCTCTAAACCCCCAGCCTTCACAGACTTTGAGAATGCCTTCTGCAAGGTGCGCCCACACACCACCGTGAAAGAACTGGACACTTGTACAGAGTGGAGCAAGATGTATAACCACTGAGAAAGCAGCTAGTCACTGTACTCGGACTGCATTACGACCCTGTCTTTGCTTAGATTTGGCAAGCCACGGGAATTTGTTGTTGTTATTTTGTAATTACAGATTATGCAGCCAAAAGAGCCAGAGAAAGTCAACAATACAGGAGAGCTGACAAAGTTGTTTTACTGGCAGAAGCATGCCACGGTGTGCTTTTTTTGTTTTCAAATGAATAGCCGCAATATTTAATTTTTCCCAAAGAAGAGAAAGATGAATAGGCCTTGTTCAGTCGGGTAGTGTATTAGTCTTTTGGCCAATGGGAAAATCAGATTATGTACTATTTGAATACTCTCAGAGATCCTGATTAGCCTTGGTCCAGGACAAAATCAATTATTTGTTGCTAGGTGACGTGGTCCAAGATTATGGATAATCAGGGTTTGGAAAATCCCCCCCTTTGACTGACTCTCAGGATCGTATTTATTGCAAGTCCACTTCCATGTTATCCTAATGTTGATTTAGTCATTGGATTGTCACTTAAATATTCAGTAAGAAGGGCTTGGGATCAGCAACATTTCAGCAAACACACACACAGTTTTTGACCAAAAACATGTCAAACCAAATGCATAATCAGCAGCGTTAACAGGCTGGTCCTCAAAATTACAATAAATGAATCCTTCTCAAGAGCTTCTCAACAAATCAAACAGATAGTTCTTACCCCCCCCCCCCCCCCCCCCCCCCCCCACACCAAAAGAAAAGATAAAAGAAAATCAAATGACATGTTTTAAATCCAAACATGTTGCTACACATGTTTGGTAGTAATGTATGTATTTCCATTTAACTCACTAATAGTAATACACTCATGCTTGAAATTGTACAATTCACGGACAACTTACTCTTATATTTGCAGTGTTGTCCTTAACTTACCCATACCTTCGTTCTCAATCTCACATTCCTCATTGTCTGCAGTTTTCCTGAGAATCCCACTTACAGAACAAAACGTACCCACCCGCACAGCCAGCATCTCCTACAGCGTGTCTGTTTTCTATTTCACTTATTCCTTTTATTTTCTTAGTATGTAGTCTTGTTTGAAATGCTCAGGAAGAATTTCTTTACCTCAGAAATATGAAATTAAAGAATGTATGTAATTTTAGGGTCTTAGTAGAGAGCGAGATAAAGGAGCGAGGAGAAACCTGACAGTCTTGTATTACCCACTACAGCTGGGCTTTTACCTCGGGAGAGAAACTTGAATATGCTACAAAGAGTAACATTGAATGTAATTCAGGTATTTCAAAGGATATTTGATGCCATAAATCCATGTATTATTATATGAATATAAATACCTTTTCATTTCTGTTCTTTTACCCTTTATTTTTATTGTAGTTTATGGTGGAGTGATGATTGTCTTCAAGAAATGTAGAATACAGAAAATCTTGCTTTTTTTGTTGGACAAACTGTTTTGCAAATGTCTGTGTAATATAGCGTTTACATATCCTGTATATGCATGTCTACTGTGTATAGTTTTAAGGCTGCAAAATATCATTTGAAAATGTTAATATAACGCACACAATCATACACGTGCACTCGCAGTTGAACATCTGAGCACAAAATACCTTCCAAAAAGACACAGAACCAAAAGACAGCAAAAAAAAGTTTGAAGACAAAGTCATCGTATGTAGCTTTCAGCAAATCCCAAAGTATAAAAACTCACAGCTAATGTATACATATTGTGGACAAACCCAACATGTAGACAATCCAGACAGATCTCTCCTTTTCCATCAGTCGTACAGTTCTGTTTTAACGAGCTGGAAAAACCTGGTCACTGGACTGCAGGTACAGGGGTCGTACATATTAGACCGTTGCCATGGTCCTGAGGCGGTATACACAGAATGATGTAATATTTCCTACCTCCCTTCCCGCCTCCCCACTACTGCCCCCCCCCCCCCAAACTCATCATTATTTTCTCCCTTTTCTCTCTCCCCAGTGCAATCTCATTAGATTGGATTGCCCCCTGGCCACGAGCCCCAGTGGCCATGTGGCGTTGTAGCCTCCTCCCCGCCCCCCTTCCTCTTCCCCTGTACTGATTCCTCTGGAGTGGAAGTGGTCTGATTGATGTCCAGCAACCCTATATCACAGTGCAGCCGTCCCCTCTCCAGCTGGTGGCTTCAGTCATGCCGTGAAGCCAGATCAATCAGAGTGACCCTCCGCTGTGCATACTGATCACTGTCTCAGAAACTGAAAACACATTTACAAATTACAGAACAACCCCTGCCTCAAGCGGCACAGTCTTGATGATGCTAGCGATTATTCACATGTAGTTACAGAAATTAAATAATAATAATGACTTAGAGGTACCAATAATTCCCACATTTGAAATTGGTGTTGTTCCCACTACTCACGCCAGTATGTCCAACAAAACAAGCCTTTATTTTTTACATGTTTTGATCTGTTATCACGGTAACTTTGTTCTTGGTTATTGTACATTTTCTGTAACCATTTCTACCTCATTTTTGCGGCATATTGTACATGAAAGTATTTATTTCATGTCTTTTTTGATGTCTGTTTTAAAAATGATAATAATGTTCTTGAACTGTAATGGTCTACCTCAGAAAAGACTGTATTTTAAGAGAAGAGTATCACACAATATTAAACAGAATTTGTCAATATTGCACTGCAGTTATTTCTTTGTGTTTTTTCCCTCTGATTTCAGCACTCAGGGGACTGCAATGGACCGGAGTGCAGAAATGACATGATGGTGGTGGTTACCGTATGTCTCTGTATCTGTAGCCTGGCTTGACCTCAATGTTAAGGTCAGCACAGTTACTTAAACTGATTGCTAAATTGTTTAACTTACATCAGGAGGTTTTGGATTTGTTTTCTCAATCAGCTTGGATTGACTTCACACAGGAGCCTGTGTAGTCAGCAGGTGATATCAGTATGAAAAAAAGGTAGTAGGTAGTGTGGTAGTTTAATTTGAAACAAAGCATTTTTGATGAGGCTGTGTGAAGTGAAAGATTATCACAAAGAGTGCGCATGTGTTCAAGATAGAAAGACAAGAGAAAACTGTACATCTTTGGTGGGTCCTCCTGCTCATATTTTGCCAGCCTGCTTGTGCATGAGTTTTTAAGTGTGTTGCAGTATCCAGAACAGCAACAGAAGCAGTGCTAGCACACCCCTGAGGCTCCAGGCCCAGCACCAGAGCACAGAGGTCCTTCATCCCTGTCACTGTCTGTAAACAACAGCTCGTCCCAGCGGCCTGCCTTGTGCTATTTCTGGCCTTTCCTGACATCTTTCAAAGACTCAAAACTAACTAAGAGAAGAAGTAAATCTAAGCAACTCTACTCAAAGAAGTGAAAGTTTAGTCAAAGCCTGAAAGAAGGATTCATTGCTCCCCAGTTATGGATAGTGGTGTCAAATCTGAGCTCAAAACATCTGTGACTGAATCCCAGTAGAAAAGTGGTGCTGCTGGTGTTGACAGAGTAATTAATTGTCTAATAATGATGCATAGCTCTGTTATAAGCACAACCTTGTGCAGCGGCTGCCCTTCATCCTCTGATGAAGGATAATCGTTTCTGCAGCTGTTTAAATTTTTTTCCTGTCACAAACTCAATAACATAATCCACAGAACAAAATAACCTTGCAAAGGTAGACTAGACTGTGTGATAAAGTGGAATTGGTTTATGAGGAGTGGCGTATATACATCTTACATGCTAATTTCACACTAAAAGATCGAGTATTGAAGACTGCAAAAACATATAAAGTTGTAAAGACCTTACCTCCACAGTGTGATTGTACTGCTGTGAGAGGAATTAATTTTTTAAAGTCCAAACAAAGACACTGAAACAGTAGCTCGGCCGGCCACTTTATTAGGTACCATATTATATATTCGGTGTTAACACAAATAGCTAATCAGCCAATCACACGACTCAATGCATTTAGGCAATGTAGGTCAAGACAACTTGCTGAAGTTCAAACTGAGCATCAGAATGGGGAAGAAAGGGGATTTAAGTGACTTTAAACATGGTTGTTGGTGCCAGACGGGCTGGTCTGAGTATTTCAGAAACTGTTGATCTACTGTGATTTTCACGCACAACCATCTCTGGGGTTTACAGAGAATGGTCCAAAAAAGAGAAAATATCCAATGAGCGGCAGTTGTGTGGACGAAAATGCCTTGTTGATGTCAGAGGACAGAGGAGAATGAGCAGAAAGGCAGTAACTCAAATAATCACTTATTACAACCAAGGTATGCAGAACACCATCTCTGAATGCACGACACATTGGACCTTGAAGCAGATGGGCTACAGCTAGGGCTGTGCAATATGGCCAAAAATGTTATCACGATAAAAACATTTCATATCATTCCATATCAATAATTATCACGATATATGTCAAATCATTATTTCTTTCAAGTTTAAAGGCAGATTTTTCTCCTGAGTGCAAATTGAAGAAACCAGATGGTTAATTATGTGGTTAAACTTTTCTTTATGGTCTGTATGTGACAAACACTTCATGAGTCTCGATTTCAGCTGTGACATTTAGATGGCTCTGAAGCTCAGATCATCTCAAACTGGTTTCTTGAACATGACAATGAGTTCACTGTACTCCAATGGCCTCCACAGTCACCAGATTTCAATCCAATAGAGCACCTTTGGGATGTATCATGGATGTGCAGCCGACAAATCTGCAGCAATTGCGTGATGCTATCATGTCAATATGGACCAAAGTCTCTGAGGAATCTTTCCATGACCTTGTTGAAAGTATGCCACAAAGAATTAGGGCAGTTCTGAAAGCAAAATGGAGTTCAACCCAGTATTAGCAAGGTGTACCTAATAAAGTGACTGGTGAGTGTATATATCCATGGTCTGACTTCCTGTGAGTCACTTTCCATCCAGTAAGCAACTGAAAACCAGTTTGTCCTTTTTTGTCCTGAGTGATTCCTGTCCGCCAGGAAGTCAATCATTTTCTTCTCCCTGCTGATTGGAGGTAATTAGGCGAGCAGAGTTTGTAATTGGATAATAAAAGATGCTAATGAGCTTCTGTCCTATTTACTCATACTTAGGCAGTGAATAGCAGGACACAGCTCTGCTACACTTTGCTCTGCGATACAGCTCTAATAAAAAGGGATTTTGAAAGTACATTTCACAATTATTACAAGATATAAATGTTGATTATCAGAATAATAACCTTTATATAGTTGGGTTTATAAATAGTGGACATTAAAGTAAGAATTGGTTATGATACATTTTATATAATCTGATTAAAATACAAACCAAAGCTTCTACACATTGCACAGATGGAGGTTTTTGTGACTATTTTGTTTGTTCAGTGTTCTATTTTTGTATTTCACCTGTAAGTGCACTCAGTTTAAGCAGCAGAAGATTAACGTCTACTTTCTCAGCCTGCACTCAACTTAGGCAAAGTATCATATGTTTACGATGTTCGATGTACATCTTTAGTGTGTGCTTCACTTAGAGGTACCATGACAAAACACCTGAAAGTTATTTACGGTAGCAACCTTCATTAAAAAAAAGTCATTTTCTGAATCTCTTTTCACAGAGACCCAATCCTCCTCTCTTCCGTTCCGTGCTGCTGGCCTTCCATTGTCCGGGCCTTGATACTGACAAGGTTGACATCAGAGGAGAGCTCTGACACTGGGTGAGTTAAGACTGCCAGCTGTTAGCAATCAAGTCTATTTTGAAGTCAGGGACACATGGACCCCCAGGGCCAAAGCAGCAACTAGCCCAAGCCGTAGCCCCCCCAACCCAGCCCACAACCTCCAAGCCCCCTGGTCCCAGATAGCCAGCACAGCTGTATTGTTTCCAGATGTTCCAAAGCTGCAGTAAGGGCCCTTTACCTAAGAGGACCCCAAAAATGATGACAGACCCGCACAGAGAGAGGGGTAACACACCAAACAACAAAACACTGAGCTAAAGAACGTTTCAACACCAAACCTGCAACCAACAGATGCTAAAAAGCAAAAAAAAAAATATCCATAGATCCATCTGTTGTCATGTTCTAAATGGTTATAACATTTCTTTCACTGACTCTTGTGCTTGACAGAGGAGGAGCTGCATGTTGTGACAGAGAAAGCACTATCACCGCAGACTGCTTTTAGAGAACGGGATCAATGTCGTTTAATCTCTCCTGGACAGCTACGCTGTCATCACAAATATTGGCCTGAACAGTAAAAAGTCTAATCTTTATGGTAACTGGCACCTTGTCCATCAGCCCTGCAATCTTTGGCAGTTTCGTGAAAAGTGAATCATAATTATCAGATGAAGTCTGCAGCTTCATATCAGGTAAATAAGTTTATCTGAAAACAAGTCAGGAAGAAAAGGCACAATGGAAACTGCTCAGGTTGTTTGAAAGGAAATGATTAAATCTTTGCAGCTGCATTGTTTCTGTGTTGGACAGGTCAATCAAAAGCCTCAGGAAATTGGGTTTGACAGATGGAATGTTCTGGTAAAATCCTTTGCTTGCCCCCTTCTCACATGACTAAAATGTGATCACTGAATAAATAAACAGTAAATAGGTATATAAGAGGATAAACAGATTGCTGTTTAGGAGCATCTGAAACAGAAGTGTCACTGTGAGAGCTACATCAGAATCTGATATTAACAGAAAAAAATGAAGGGGTTAACATGAAGTTCTTCCATAATGTTATAGTTTGGGGTAGTCTGCAGATGATCGTGTGTGATCTTGCTATATGACGGTGTCTAATTTCGTTGAGGACAGGCAGGTTTAATGCAGGTCTATACCTCCCTCATGTGGCCAATACAAAAAAATGTAAATCCTAATGAAGGAGCAGATTGCGCCATGAGCACAGTGAAATTAGACTCAGACAGATAATGCTACAATCACCATAGATGTTTGAGGTTCACATTTGTTGAAAAACTTAATCAGAATATATGGATTTAGCCAAAGTTCAGTGCAATTAATTTGATTCAGTCTGGGGGATGCCGATTGCTCACAGAGGATACAGGATTAAATCCAGGTAATGGAATTTAAATTAAAATTAAAAAAATTACCAATTGCAATATGAAAATGAACCTGGGTGTGAAATATAAATACACAGCACACATTTACAGAGCCATAAATACCCACAAATACAGCAGCATTACAACGTCAAAACCTCAGACAGCACAGCTATAGCTGAACTGTAACATTAACGACCCCTGGTGGCTCCACTGTGAACATACATGTATGCTTTGTTCAGTGACATACATAGTATATAATTATTGCAGTATTTGTAAACCTATCACATCAAGGCTATGTCAATAGTGGATGATGGTGAAAGAAAGCTTTATCACAAGTTGGGCTCACAATTGATGTTTTACTTGCACCTGGTTAAATACCATATATTGTGTAGGGTAATATAATCTATAGTAATACATCAACTTAGAAAATGTTTTCATAGTAAGATAAACATAAGCAAAAAGGGCACAAGTAATCTGTTGCCACAACTCTAAATATTGTGCATATGATTTTAGGCAGCTCTGTGTTGATACATTACATCACTGTCCACATAATCACTTGTTTTCAGATCTTTTTATATACAGTATACGTGCACTGTAAAATAGTAGTACTTCACAGTTTTATTGTACACTTAGATAGTAAAGTTAGTTAGGCCTGTTTCGCGCCACTGGAGCAGACTCAGTTGTTGTGAGGT